AGCAAGAGCAGGCCGCGCCTCCCCCGGAAACTCCCAATAAAAAGGTTCTTAAGAAGAAGAGTGGCTTTTTCCAGAACCACAGCCCCTTCCGACGGAAGAGCACCAAGGAGGTGGCGCCGACAAGCCGAAACACGTGGAACCCGCCCGCCGCCCACAACAACCGACCACAACTCGCTGCCCCCCCTAAAGAGAGCCAGAACCAGATTATCGGGCCTGAGCGGAGCGTCAGCCCGGATCCGATCGCAGCCAACGCGAGTCTCGCGCTCAATGTCGGGCAGAATGTCTTCCCGGTAGAGACACCCGATCGCCGCAAGCAGGATGCTGGGCCGGCCACTCCTGAAGATGATCCCATTGCGATGGCCTTGGCCGAGCTGAAGGGCGTCACGGGCGGAAAGAACGGGGGGTCGAGGATGTCGGCAGACCACTACCATGGCATCGCGACGCCTGCCCCCGGCGCTAACCCGTCGCGCTCCATGGTGCCAGGGAACAACAACAGTGTGGTGGCCGCCGGCATGCGCGGGACCCCACCGCCGTCCTACGACCAGCAAACCCAAATCCAGCGCCTCGGCGTGCCCCCGCCAGCAGTGACCTCCAGAGCAATGAAGGAGTCCTCCCAGAAATTCCAGCAACAAACCCGGAGCCTCTTTACCGCGTCCGACCGCCCCAACTCCGGTGGCGGCGGCGGCGGCGGATATGGCAGCCGGCCCGGCACCGGCCGAAACAGCAGCAGCGACATCCCGCGCGCCGTGTCCCCTGCAGCGCAACGCAGCGTCTCCCCGCGACCCAGCTCCCGTGCGAGCCGGCACTACCCCGCCTCCCCCTCCCATCGCTCGGTCTCACCAGCGCCCTACGCGGGTAGCCAGCGCGGGTCAGTCAGCCAGCTGAGCATGTCGGCGAACAAGCGCGGGTCAGACGCCGCGTACTACGGCGGCAGCAACAGTAACAACCAGAGCCACAACAACAGCTACAACAGCAACAGCTACAATGGCCACCGCGGATCCTCGTCGAGCGCCGCATCACCCAACGAAATGGCACGCTCCACCAGCCCGGCCCCTTACTCCCCTCGCGCGTCGGCCGCCAGCCCCTCTCCCTACGGCAGCACCCGCGGCACCGCGGCTAGCCCCGGCCCCACGGGCACTTACAGCCCGCGCGGCTCCATGCAGGACCACAGCGCCAGCGGCGGCGGAGGCCGTCCGGGCAGCAGCATGAGCATGGGCAGCAGGCGGGGGATGGACATGGCCGTGCAGCTGGCGCAGGTTCCGTCGGGGGGTGGTGGGCAAGGGTATGGCCAGCAGCAACAGCGACAGCAGCAGCAGCAGGAGCAGGACGATGGCTATGGCGGGTCGATGCGCGGGCGCCATAACCGCTCCAACACGGCTACCAGCATGAGCATGCGTGGGATGAGCCTGTATGAGGGTGCGGGGCCCGTGCAGCCGGTGGGCAGTTCCCGGACGAGGAGTAAGAGTGTTGCGGCGGACCCGAATCGGTTTACGAGGGATGGGAGGCCCATTTTGCATTTTGGTGAGTTTTTTTCTTCTTTTGTTTTTTTTTGTTCTCTCGTTTTCCTCATATCACTCACCCACCCACCCCCACTGTTTCTCTCATTGCCACGATGCAAGACTAACACATCCGATCTCCTAGCGCGCGCACTGTACATGTACCAGCCCGCGATACCCGAGGAGCTGGGATTTGCCAAGGGCGACGTGCTGTCCATCCTGCGGCACCAGGACGATGGCTGGTGGGAGGCCACCGTGCAGGGCGGCGCCGGGCAGGTTGGGCTGGTCCCGAGCAATTACTTGCAGCCTTGCTAGGCCTGTTTCTGACGCTGTTTGGGGTGGGTGAGTTCTGGTGTTAACAGGTTATTTCACCTGTTTGGTGAGGCTAGCCAACGTTGTTTTATGTTGGAGGGGCCGGGTGACTGAGGGCTTGGTGATGTTTGGTGTTTTTTTGAGCTTTGAGATTTGAGATCTGAGATCTGAGGAGAGTGCGAGAGTGCGAGAAACATGTCTAGAGCATTCAGCGGGGAGTTTGGGGAGGGTTGTTGAGATGACCCAGGAGGTGCATTTAATCTTCTTCTGATGAGATGTCTTGTACGGATTTGATGTGGTTTTTGATGAGTTGGGTTGTTAGCGTTTTATTAGCATGTGTATTTATGAAGAAATTGAAATGATTTCCGTGCTACCTACCTAATATATGCCCAGGCAGTATCTGAGTCCTCGTTTCCAGTGAGTTTAGAGTGCTGCCGCATTGCCGGTAGTTCTGTAAAATGCCAAGACATGACATCAGGGCGAGCTGCCTGGCGTGACGAATGCACTCAGCTGCAAGAGCTCCCCACTTTAACTTTCAGGCCATCCCGTCTTAATCCCAACCCCAACACCAAAGCCGCATCGTATGGCTTCAACCTAACTCATCCTCTCTCGCTTTTTGAAATCAACCTTCATTTTTACGAGGTTACTATCACAAATGAGAAGGGTTTCTACCCATCGATGAAATGGTAAGCGGGACATCGATTCGGCCCAAGTCAACCACTCCCTTGCGAGCTTCTCCCTTCGATCGGCTAACTCCAGGCACAGGCTCTGAATGAAGTCAAGGAAGCAGTTGCGGACATATATTGGGGTCTGAAAACCATAGGCCACAATGCTGTTTACGGCGCTGGCCGTCGCGTCCACGCTGTGGTATCCTCTCCGTGGCTCCACAAGTTGGTGATAGGGACAACGCTGTTCGTCATCGCGGGGGTCCTGCTCTACATCCCAGCAACCCTCGGCTATTTCTTCTTATACTACAAGTTCCTCCCGACATTGGAAACAACCGTTCCGGTACATTTGCAGTATGGGTATGTTCACGCCCTTGTCACCATGGACGGTCATTCTCGGGTGCAGGTATTCACAGATCACAGTGTCGGTCCCAACCCATTCGGCGTCGCCTCCTTCAAGGGCATCGCCAACCGCCAACCCTACGACATTACAGTGTCACTCACTCTTCCACGATCCCCATCTAACCTAGACCGCGGCAATTTCATGCTCGCGCTGCACCTCCTTTCCTCAGGCCCCACGGCCTCCGAAGCCGCCTCCAATGCCACCCCCGAAGCCGCCTCTGACGCCGCCTCTGACACCGTCCCAATCATCACCACCTCCAAACCCGTCCCCTACCTGCTACCCGCCCGGCCGTTTTCTGACCCCTCAGCGGAATCACCGCAATCATCTTGGCACTCTCTCGACGCCCTTCTCCAACCAACCCGCCTCGACCTCCCCGCCTTCCTCGCCTCCCACACCATCGTGCACACCACCGCGCGCCCCGCCCTAATCCCCTACGTCGACCCGCTCGCCTCGCTCGCCTCGCGCATCCTCTTCCTCGGCTACCACCTGCTCGCCCCGCGCGGCGCCGCCGCCGTGCTCTTGACCGTGCCCATGGCCGAAGGACTGGCGTTCTCTGCCCCGCGCCGCGACGCTGCCCGCCTGCTGCCCGACAGCCTGCTGCTCGAGGTCCAGGCCGGCCAGGCCATCCAGGTGTACGACGCGCGCGTGACCATCGTCGCCAGGCTGCGCGGCCTGCGCGCGTTCATGTACCGCTGGCGCGTCACGGCGTTCGTGCTGTTCACGGCGGCATTTTGGGTGCTGGAGATGACGGTGATGGTGGTGGGGTTGGTTGTGGTAGGGTGGACTTTTGGGGGTGGGGGTAAGGAGGTGGAGAAGGGGGGTAGTGATGAGGAGGAGGAAGAAGGGGAGGAGGGGGATGACGATGATGGTGATGATGACGAGGACGAGGAAGATGGGGGTGAGAGTGGAGGCAGTGGGAGTGGCGAAACCGATGACGGGGGGGACTGGGGCTATGAGGAGGGGAGAGCCGTGAAGTTTGAGGTTAAGGATGGAACCGAGGGCCCGTCTTCTTCTACATCGGGGACCACGACGATAAAGAAGGAAGAGGAAAAGGAAGACACCCTGGAGATGGGGAGCGTGCCCTCGTTAGAAACTGGGTCGAGCACCGACGCGGATGATGAGGACGAGGTGAAGCGGGAGGAGGGACTCGAGTCAAAAGATTTGGATACTGGGACTCAATCAAGTAGTAGCCAAGTGAGGGAAGGGTTCGCGAGAAGGAGGAATCTCCTATCGAGTGAGGACATTTCAGTACATGGGAATGGAGACTGATAATGTTTAGGTCTTGTGTTCTATTACGGGATAATACGTGACGGGTAGGGTAATCAGCTAATAATAACATTCAAACAAGTCAAAGCGACTTTCCTTCTTTGGTCCTTTTAACTTGAATCCTGCGCCAACGATGCAACTGCTGTGTCAAACACTTTGTTGTTGTCAAATACCTATCCGGCGGTAGGTGAGGTCGTTCAGCTTCCATTGTTGATGACAGCAGCCGCATGACTGCACACATAATGTCAGGCACCAGGAACAGGTCCTGCCAACTCATTCCAATGCTGCTGGGCACTGTGCTGGCGGCTTCTGCAGAACGCCCAAAGCGGGGCCATCTCAATGCCTCAAAACTTAACAATCAAAAAAACGCTTCTCGACCGAGGCTGCTGCCCACCGGCGCTGTCTGCATAAAAAGAGGGCCGTGCACAGTGACCACGCGTGCAGCAACAGCCCGGCCCCCGGCCAGTGCAACCTTCTCAGATACATACCTATCACACTGCTCCAATCGTCGCCTCCACTCTCCGACTCAGCGCCGTCATTTGCAACTTTCAGCCTCAGATTCCGATTGACCTACCTAGGTACTCGCCAGTCTTCGCCAGTTCGACGGAAACCCGAATGGCCAGCTGGGCAATTAGCTGGCTCATCTCGCCAACGCTACGGCGATCCAAATAAACTACGAAGTACGAATACAGCAATCAGTTTGTTTCGACCGGTGTTCTGGGTTGCCCCCCTGGCCTACCTGGCGGCGTTTGCACGGCCCAACCCCTCTAAATCCCCCTACTGCCAACGCAGAAGCCCCAAGAACCCATCCAGCCCCTGCCCCATCCCGCCAGACCCATCTTCTGCCCACCCCGTGCACCTTCCTACCTTTTTGGGGGGATTTGGGAGACGGCGAGCCACATTTTAAACAAAACCGTTGTCACGAAGATACCCAAGTGCTCGGGTCGACCAGTGACTGGCACAAAGGGCAAGGCTGCTGTTTTTGGCCGGCAACTCGTAAAGTCTCCTCGCTCGAAAGCGGACCGTCTGGGACTTTGTCCACCTTCCCCCACCTCGGCACCTTTCTTAGTTTTAGACCACCGGCCACATTCCTACTTTTCACCCTCACCGCAAAAAGAGTAGCAACAACAAGTTCCTCCCCAAAACCATCACCGAAAATATACAAAACGACCCTTTCCCCGCCACCCGACAAAGCGCGGGGTAGTGCCTAGGTAGCCATCGCGCCGTCATCGACCTACAGTGGGGTCCGACCCTCTCGAGCAGCAGCCGCCAAAACCCACCACCGTCCGTCATGCCCTGCTTCAAGGGCATCGCGGTGAGCATCCATGCCAATGGAATGCCGCTGCCGGAGCACGGCGTGCAGAAGCAATCCCGCGTCTCGCGGATCAACTCTTACATCCCCGTCCCGCAGCCCCAGCTCAGCGGCGACTCCAACAAACCCGAACCTGCCAAGTTCGCCATTTCCATTACCCTCCTCACCCCGGGCCTAACGATACCCTACTCGGCGTGCAAGCCGACCCCCGACAACCCGAACCCGAAGCCCCAGCTCGTCGGACCGCTGCCCTCGAGCACCGGGGAGCGCGGCAAGTTCCATGGCGTCGTCACGCCCTACATCCCCATGACCAACAGCGAGAACGAGACCATCGCTGCCTATATCTACTTCGATGGAAGAGGAAAGGAAGAGGTCGCTACGCTGTTGCGTCCCGGCGAGGAAACTTGGGTTAACAGTCGGTGGGTTCAAGTTCCCGACGCCGAGGGTGGTGGTCTCGCCGAGCGCGAGTTCCTCTTTCGCGAGGTCGGCCTAGAGCGGTGGCTCAATGGCCTTGACCTCAAGGGCCACGACGCCGCGGAGAAGCTGGAACGCCGGAGACAAAAGTTCGAGAAGCGCAGGAGACGGCAAAAGCAGCAGTCCGAAGAGGGCATGGGCATGGACTTTGAGGGCTCCAGCAAGCCGCGGGGCACCCTCCGCTACGGCGCCGACGAGCGCTCCCCCGTCGAGGCCGTCTTTGACGAGGATTCCATCTCGTCGTCTGACGACGACGAGCCGCCCGAGGCCACGGGCCAGATAAAGGTTGCCATGTTCCGTGTGATCGCTTCCGGCGAAATCAAGAAAGGGGAGTATTCGCCCCAGTTCGATGCCCATGACGATTCCTCCGAGGATGAAGGCAAGGGAGGTTCGAACGGAATTGATGCAGACGTCGAGCACACCACTAGTTTTGCGAAACCGAAGACGCTCGATCCCAAGACGATTAGCACTCAGACGGTGACCGGTATCGACGGGCCAGACAAGCCGTATGCGGTGTTTACCTTCTTTTACCGCGGCGAGCGTGAGTGTTTCAGCCACACAGAAGAGTGAGAATTGCCAGTTTTCGTTGTTTTCTAACATAAACCCCAGGCCAGCTTCAAAAAATGGGCGTCATGGCGCCCCCGAAGCCGCAAACTACGTCCCCGGCGATGAAGCGGCGGTCCGGCCAGGTCGACTTTTCGAGTCTCGGCCCCCTCAAAACTAGCGGCACCGTCGGCTTCTCGGCGTTCCGGGATAGGGACAGTAAGCCGACGAGGAGTAGGAAGTCGCGCAAGAGCAACGGTGCTTCAGAGAACACCGCCATGGACGCGGATAGTGACGACGACGACGATGATGACGACAGCGCCGAGATCCTGAGCAAGATGGAGGACATTGACAGTAAGGATGACAAGTCCAAGCTCAGGCCCGACGACGCACAGTTCTCTGGCGAGCTCGCTGACGGCGTGAATCGCATTCGGGTACGCCTTTTGATCCCCCGCCCTTTCTCATACCTGCCTAGAAAGCTAATCCGGCTGTTTTGTTCTAGCTCAAGCGAGCCCACTCTGCCGATCCAGACAGCGCCTCGAGCCCTCGAAAGTCCCCTAGTGCCGGTATTGCGACGCCGCCCGAAGCAGCCACCCCTGGTGGTCTCGCCCCTCTAGGTGGCGCAGCCGGAATCTTTGGCAAGAGCCTCACGGACGACAGCAACGTTGTCGGTAGTCCCCTCAAGAAGGCACGGCCTAGCCTGGGTGCTGATGCGATTGTTGGTGGAGGCGACTCGACAGGCGGAAGCTTCCCCCCCCGCGCTCGGCGATATACTCGCCAAGGCTCAGGCTGCTCAGGCAAGCCAGGATCAAGAGCGGGTTGCGCCGCCGATGAAGATGGAAGAGGAGGAGCTATAACCTGGGAAGCTTGCGGAAGTTGTGAGCTAATACTTGCTTGTTTTACTGTTGGTTTATCATGACGCAGACGCCATTCTGCGTCAAGATTCCGCAAGGCAGCGCCTGGACATTCTGAACTGAATTCTTCTGCCTTTGCCAGAGAATTGGGGGGTCGGCAAAAGACAGCTTAAGCAGGAGCAGGAGTCAAGGTCAAGGATGCACCCCCTCATCATTTTTTCTTATTACAAAGAAACATGTAGATCTCTGCGCTGCCTATCTACACGGGCTTGCCGTTTGTCCAAGGGCGATTGGGAGGAGTAGGGCGAAGGGCATTACGGGGAGCATGATATGGTGAGCTTCGGGAAGCGGGGATTGCGATAGCAGTCTCTAGTGTAGTTCAGAAAAGAACCGTCCCGGGGGCAGGGACCTTTTACTGTGGTTTGATGCCGTTGACGAGATATGAACAGGCACGCCGCCGAAATCGGGGGACTGGGGTCTTGTAGTTACATACTTGCACAGCGATTGCGTGTGGGCATGGGCGATGATTACGACTAAATTTTCCATTGGCTAAATCTGAGATATGTCGGGGAAGGGAGGAAAAACAACAACAAGCGACTTGGCTTCAGCCCAAAATCGAGATACCGAGCCGGCCTTCACGACCTGCCACACTCGCCGCCCAAGGTGGGACGAACCAACGCCCAATTCCACAGCCCAAGACCAACACGCGGTTCTCTGTTCAACGGTTAGCCATCTGTGATACTACAGATATCCGCTGAGTGGTCCAAAAAGTAAAATGCAAGGGTAAAAGTCAGACTGTTGAGCTTGATATTTTGATTGATCAACATGGAAGATTCAGTTGGCCGTTCTTAATGGAAGATTGTGTCATCATTGCAAGAGAGGGAAAAATTAGGAAAAGAAGAGAGGATGCCTTACAGTTCCGTGGGAAAAAGGGATTGTTTGGAGCTGGCGTGGCCGGCACGAACCAGTCCTCTCAATCCTTTTTGGGTAAGAAGAGAAAAAAAAGAGAGGTCGGATCCTGCAAACCTCAAATTTATTTGGTGTTCGCGTGCAGGCGGGCGGACCCACCAGCCCACCCGAGCTCGCCCAAGCACGACAGGTGGCTGCCTGAGGCTGAAATTAACCCCACCATAACATTTTAAGGCCCCGCTCTTGTCATGGCGGATGAGGTCGGGTAGCCATCGCAAACTGAGCTCCCATACAAATTCAAGAACCAACCGTCACCGACCTCGCAGACCCAAACACCGCAGCGCCGTTTTCCGTTTTACGAACCTCTTAGATCTCTCCGAAATACACCAGAAAAAATGGCCAACGGTGAGTAACCTCTTTTCACTAAGATGATCTTTTTCAGATTCTCAGGAGGCTGCGCGCAAATCACGGCGGGCCAGGCCAGGGGAGGGCTGCCTGTTTACCCCGCGATCCCGCGATCCCCTATTTTTGTGCGCCTCGGGTGCTGTCGATAGAAGGACCAGGAATATTTTCTTACTGACATGATAACAGCCAATTTCCAGGGGATTGCGAGTAAGTGCATTGCTCGAGCATGCGACGATATACCGTCCCAGTCGGCGAGAAACTCCGGTGAGGCAGCGATTCTAAGATAGGAAGCCTCACAGTGGAGTTCGTCGCTCACTACTATTCGACATTCGACACGGACTGCAAGGCTTTGGCCGGTCTCTACGTACGCTCGCCCGCTCAGCTATACAAGACATTTGGGTTTTGGTAGTGGCAGGGAAGAACAAGGCTAACGGTGTATGCTGGGTGTAGCGGGACCAGTCGATGCTCACGTTTGAGAGTTCCCAGTCGCTCGGCGTCGCCGGTATCCTCGAAAAGCTCACGGTAAGATACGGACAGCAAGCAAGCAATAGTCTTCGTGCGGGCGAAAGAAGAGACGAGCGTGGCTAATTTCCGCTGCGCAGAATCTCACCTTCCAGAAGGTCGAACGCTATCAGTATGGTACGCCCGATGCGCAGCCTACCGCGAACGGCGGCATCATTATTCTTGTGACCGGACAACTTAAGGTAATCCCCCCCCCCCCCCCCGGTAGTAACTCGATTGGCTGGGTTAGGGATACGGGCAGCTACTAATACGACCGGCTTTCAGGTCGACGACGGGGACCACCCTCTTCCCTACTCACAAGCCTTCCAGCTCTGCCAGGATGCTGCCGGTCAGTGGTTCGTTTACAACGACGTCTTCAAGTTGGTGCTTGGTTAAGCGGACCAAACATGATGTAACAACTCCTCATGACGAGCTTGGACACGCGCTGGAGCTCCTCAAATATTAGATGGGGTTCCCGAACCTAGGCCGATGAGGGTGCCAGGAAGCGAGAACTGCGGCGTTTCATTCTCGCCTCTGTCGACTTGAAAGCGAGAAAGTGTTTTGGCCAGCGCAAGCAGGACGGTCTACGGCAACGGAGGTTCTTTGGTAGTTTTAGCTTGGGTTAATATCAGATGGAATTCTGAACTGCAGAGCGGCTTGGCCAGCCCGGTCCAGTACGAGTGATGCGGTATGTCGTTAGCCCGTTGGCTCGTTGTGGTTTGAACGTTTTGCGGTGCCGCGACTACTGCCGCGTCATTATCGTCGTCAGTGGGCAGATCATCCTCACTCCCTGACTCCCTCCCCCAATAGGCAACTTTACTCTGAGACAGAAATCTACTCCGACCAGTCGTTGCTTGCTTGATATCTCAAGACTACTCTATGGCGTGATGCCGCGTCACTATGTCATGGGTGTTGATCGTTGGGTCAACCCTTGATACATCGATTGCAATACCTCGCCCTCTTGCCAAACCTGAACAAAGGAAAACACAAGACCAAAAAAGAAAATCATGACTGGTGACCTGAACAACTCCTTCCAACCTCCAACCCTACCTACCTAGGACGACACCGCCCTGGAAAGAAACGCGCCCATCTTGGTGACGGCCGGCTTCTGCATCGAACTGAAGTGGTTCGCCCCCTTGACGATCTCAACCTCGACCTC